ATGGTGTGGGCCCTCAAGAAACTAGAGCCCTATCTCTTCGGGCGGCACTTCACCGTGTACACCGACCACTCGCCCCTGACCTGGCTGCACCAGATGAAAGGAGCCAACGCCAAGCTCCTGAGATGGAGCCTGCTCCTGCAGGATTACGACATGGACGTGGTCCACGTGAAGGGAAGTGCCAACCTGATAGCGGATGCGCTGTCCCGGAGAGGGGCCCCCGAACTTCCCCAGGTCACTGGTCACAGTGACCCCGCTCAGTTCAGTCTCGAAGGGGGGAGAGATGTGACGATGTGACTCAGCAGGGAGGGGGGAGTGTTGACCTGGGAATGTGCCCTGGGGATGGGAGACCTGAGAGCCTGTCACCTGAGCCAGGAGGGGGAGGGGGAGGTAACACCTCTGCCCAGGAATGTGAACAGAGGCTGCAGCAGGGAACCTGCGGGGTGAGTTTAGTTGGCAGTTTGGAGGCTGGGGGGAGGAACACAGGGAACCCCAGGGCTGGGGTCTAAGCTCCCTGCTCCCCCAGAAGGACGTGATTGAGGGGTCCTGGTTGTACCCACAAGCTCTGTTGTGGACTGTGTTCCTGTTGTCCAATAAACCTTCTGTTTTACTGGCTGGCTGAGAGTCTCAGTGGATCCCAGGAAGAGGGGTGCAGGGCCTGGACTCCCCCACACTCCGTGACACGCGGGCTGCCAGCTGCAGGCTAGCACGGACGTACCCCAGGCTCCTCGTTCGCCCCCTTCTGCTGCAGAACGGCCAGCTTCTGCCTTGTGCCCCCGATTCTCACCGACGGGAAAGCGCCTCCCGGCTCAAATCCCCTGGCCAGCCCGGCCCACGGGAGCCCCCATGCACCCAGTCACCTTCCCCTGAGCCCACTCTGCCAGCCTGGGCAGGTCCGTCAAGACTCATCTCCTCCTCTGCACCTGGCACTGGCAGGACCTGGAGAAGTTTCTCCACCCCCACCGCCTTCAGTCTCTGCCCAGGGCCCCGAGAGATTCATCCGCCTATCACACCGGCCTTTGCTGGGCCATGCGGGCCTGCTTGGGCTGAGATCCTAGGCAAGCCCCTGGGTGCAGCCCTGAGACCCCCTCTCCACCCTCTGCCCGACGCCAACCTCCTGCAAGGGGTACTGGGATGCGTCAGGGGGGCCATGGTTTGGGGTGGTGTGGGGGGGAGGTGCCAGGACACCTCAGGGGGACCCAGAGTTGGGATGGGGTGGGGGGAGGTGCCAGGACGCCTCAGGGTGGCCCAGAGTGGGGGTGGGGGAGGTGCCGGGACTCCTCAGGGTGCCCGGGGGGGGGGGGGGGGAGGTGCTGGGACTCCTCAGGGTGCCCAGGGGGAGGTGCTGGGACGCCTCAGGGTGCCCGGGGGGAAGGGGGGAGGTGCTGGGACGCCTCAGGGTGCCCGGGGGGGGGGGGGAGGTGCTGGGACGCCTCAGGGTGCCCGGGGGGAGGGGGGGGAGGTGCTGGGACGCCTCAGGGTGCCCGGGGGGCGGGGGGAGAGGTGCCGGGACGCCTCAGGGTGGCCCAGAGTGGGGGTGGGGGAGGTGCCGGGACGCCTCAGGGTGCCCGGGGGGGCGTGGGAGGGAGAGGCAACAGCTGGCACCGTGTGCCATGGTGTCTGATGTTCCCGGAGGGGCTTGCCACCCCAGCGCAGGAGAGACTTGTTGGGGGAGCGACTGGCCCTCCCAGAAGTGAAAGCCCAGGCCCCACACGGAGTCCCTGTGAGCCCCTTACAGGCACGGCCAGCCCTGGCATGCCGGGGTGTCCTGGCAGCGCTCGCCCTGGGTCCCTCTCACCTTGCGTCCCCACCAGGACCATGGGCACCTCGGCCGTGCTGCGGTAGCTGGAGAGCCGCAGGTAGTAGTTATACACCGTCTGGAAGCTGATCTCGTCCTCCAGGCTGAAGACAAACACCACGGCGTCCACCCAGGCGGCGAACTGGGGGAGATACCGGTCGTCAGCCCAGCGCCCGCCCCACTGCACCCCTGCCCCGCTCTCTGCAGCCCCGGGCCCACCCCACTGCGCCCCTGCCCCGCTCTCTGCAGCCCAGCGCCCACCCCACTGCGCCCCTGCCCCGCTCTCTGCAGCCCCGCGCCTGCCCCGCTGAGCCCCTGCCCTGCTCTCTGCAGCCCCGGGCCCGCCCCACTGCGCCCCTGCCCCGCTCTCTGCAGCCCCGGGCCCGCCCCACTGCGCCCCTGCCCCGCTCTCTGCAGCCCCGGGCCTGCCCCGCTGAGCCCCTGCCCCGCTCTCTGCAGCCCCGCGCCTGCCCCGCTGAGCCCCTGCCCCGCACTCTGCAGCCCCGCGCCTGCCCCGCTGAGCCCCTGCCCCGCACTCTGCAGCCCCGGGCCTGCCCCGCTGAGCCCCTGCCCCGCTCTCTGCAGCCCCGGGCCTGCCCCACTGCGCCCCTGCCCTGCTCTCTACAGCCCCGCACCCGCCCCGCTCTCTACAGCCCCGCACCTGCCCCGCTGAGCCCCTGCTCCGCTCTCTGCAGCCCCGGGCCTGCCCCGCTGAGCCCCTGCCCCGCTCTCTGCAGCCCCGCGCCTGCCCCACTGCGCCCCTGCCCTGCTCTCTACAGCCCCGCACCCGCCCCGCTCTCTACAGCCCCGCACCTGCCCCGCTGAGCCCCTGCTCCGCTCTCTGCAGCCCCGGGCCTGCCCCGCTGAGCCCCTGCCCCGCTCTCTGCAGCCCCGCGCCTGCCCCCGCTGAGCCCCTGCCCCGCTCTCTGCAGCCCCGCGCCTGCCCCGCTGAGCCCCTGCCCCGCACTCTGCAGCCCCGGGCCTGCCCCGCTGAGCCCCTGCCCCGCTCTCTGCAGCCCCGGGCCTGCCCCACTGCGCCCCTGCCCTGCTCTCTACAGCCCCGCACCCGCCCCGCTCTCTACAGCCCCGCACCTGCCCCGCTGAGCCCCTGCTCCGCTCTCTGCAGCCCCGGGCCTGCCCCGCTGAGCCCCTGCCCCGCTCTCTGCAGCCCCGCGCCTGCCCCACTGCGCCCCTGCCCTGCTCTCTACAGCCCCGCACCCGCCCCGCTCTCTACAGCCCCGCACCTGCCCCGCTGAGCCCCTGCTCCGCTCTCTGCAGCCCCGGGCCTGCCCCGCTGAGCCCCTGCCCCGCTCTCTGCAGCCCCGCGCCTGCCCCGCTGAGCCCCTGCCCCGCTCTCTGCAGCCCCGCGCCTGCCCCGCTGAGCCCCTGCCCCGCTCTCTGCAGCCCCGCGCCTGCCCCGCTGAGCCCCTGCCCCGCTCTCTGCAGCCCCGCGCCTGCCCCGCTGAGCCCCTGCCCCGCTCTCTGCAGCCCCGGGCCTGCCCCACTGAGCCCCTGCCCCGCTCTCTGCAGCCCCGGGCCTGCCCCACTGAGCCCCTGCCCCGCTCTCTGCAGCCCCGGGCCTGCCCCACTGAGCCCCTGCCCCGCTCTCTGCAGCCCCGGGCCTGCCCCACTGCGCCCCTGCCCTGCTCTCTGCAGCCCCGGGCCTGCCCCACTGCGCCCCTGCCCCGCTCTCTGCAGCCCAGCGCCCACCCCACTGCGCCCCTGCCCTGCTCTCTGCAGCCCCGCACCTGCCCCACTGAGCCCCTGCCCCACTCTCTGCAGCCCCGCACCTGCCCCACTGAGCCCCTGCCCCACTCTCTGCAGCCCCGCACCTGCCCCACTGAGCTCCTGCCCCATGCCCTGCAGCCCAGCACCCGTCCCACTGAGCCCCTGCCCTGCTCTCTGCAGCCCCGCACCTGCCCCACTGAGCCCCTGCCCCGCTCTCTGCAGCCCCGCGCCCCTCACACCGCACTGGGGTCAGCACTGATTGGGGGGAGAGCACCCTGTGCTGACCCCACCATCCACTCCCTGCAGTTTTTAAGCGCTTCCTGGTCTCCCATCCAACCCTGTTGTGAGACACAAACCCCTGATGCCTCTTCCCGGACTGACGGCCAGCAGCCTCCTCTCTCCTTCCCCAGGAGCTCTCCACTCCTTCCCCAGGAGCACTCTACTCCTTGCACAGGGCTCTCAAGGGGCGGGACTAGTGCGGGGGAGAGGGGGGATCTTACCTGGAGCTCGGGGGGGCCCCCTTCATCTCGAATCAGCAACAGGTAACTCTGACCATCCACTACGATCTCCTTCTTAAACCGGCCACCTGGGGACAAGGCAAAGCAGTGCACTGAGCCAGGGTCGGGGGGAGGGAGGGGGGTATGCAGGGCGCACACCTCCAGGGACACACCTGATGAAAGGCAGCCAGGTGGGCAGGCTCCTGGAGGCAGCTGTAAGGCTGGCATTGCCCAGAGAGAAGTCTAGCTGGGGGGTCACTTCTTAAGCCAGGGACTAGGAGTCAGAGCCCATCTTCCCCTGCCCAGAGCTCAGCATGGGGACAGCCCCCAGGAGGGCAAGAGGCCCTTACCTTCTGGGGACTCCTCCTGCACGTACGTGCCAGTCAGGTAGCGATGCACCAAGGCCGACTTGCCGCTGGACAGGTTCCCCACGATGCCCTGCAACACAAATGTGTGTGAAAGCGCCCTGCCCTCTCCGTGCTAATCGACATGGGGCCAGCACATCAGCCAAGCCAGTGTGGGTGACACACGCACTTACTGCTGGGGCAGCAAGGCCCACCTCAGAGGGCCCAGGCACTGCACCCCCCAGCTTGCCATCCATGGTTCGCCAGGCGGAGCACTGAGCATCCTGGAACTGGATGGGAGCGAAGAGCAGATGCTGGAGCCCTGCTGGCTCAAGAGAGGGTGGCTGAATGCAAGGGGGCTTCCCTTTGTACCACGGAACAGCTTCAACTACAACCATGGAGGCCCAGCACCAGCCCCCCTCTACCAGCCCCCCGACCTCCCGTTGCTTTGATGGACACCTCTGCTGTCAAGTCACCGCCTGACCCACAGGGAAGGAGACCCTTCTCCCAGCCCACACACCAACCTCCCAAGGGCCACCCAACCAGTCACACAGCTCCTGATGCACAGAAAGAGAGAAAGCGTCTGGCTTTGGGTTTGACCACAGCTGCTGCCTGGGATCCCGGCAATGGGGTGTAAGATCTGCCCTTTCTCTGCCAGCAGCAGAGCACACATGTACAAGTGGGGCTGGCCGCGCTGCCTAGAGTTACGGTTGCCTGACACGACCCACCATAAGCCCCAGTTTCCCGTTGCTAATGACTTCCCCAGACTTGAGCTGTATGGGCTGAGATTTGCCAAGTCAGTGCCTGCTTCTGGCTGGCTCATTCAGGGCGTCTCCGTAATGGTTCTTCTGGAGAGCAAGCTCAGCTGCCAGCAGGTAAAGCCATTTCTCTACAGAGCTCTCGTGCCTCCGGGGGCTGCAGCAGGTACTAGAAAGTTGGCAAGAGGATAGTCCGGGGGTCAGGGAGGCACCTTCCGCTGTCTCTGGGAAAACCCGGTCAGAGGTGGCCAAGTTCTAACCTGCAGAGCAGACAGTCCCCAACAGCACATGTCCAGTGCAGCTGGGTGTTGGCTTGCGCCTTCCTTTTCTGGGCTGTCCATGTGCACTAAGCATGCTCCTCCCGCCCCGCTGAACCCTCCGCATTGCCCACAGAACAGCGCCCCGCATAAAAACAAAATGGACCCTTCACCTGCTATACTCCCTCATCTGGCCTACGGAAAGCAGCACTTGGCAAGGAGCCAGGAGAAGGAGCGTTCTTACCTCACTGCTTCTCCTGAGCGCTGTTCACTCCGTGCACCTCCCTTGCTGCTGACCAAGGCCTCGTTGCCCCACACTGGGAAGCAGGCCAGTATCAGCCTGCTCCTTTGCAGAGCTGGGAGCGTAACACAGCGTGTAACGGAGCAGACCCAAGTCTCGGCTGCTTCAGGTTAAGATTTTGTCAGGAGTACTTTTAGTAAAAGTCACAGACAGGTTGTGGGTAACAAACAAAAAGTCACGGAAGCCTGTGATGTGTCCTTGACCTTTACTAAAAATACCTGGGGACGGGACACTAAAAGTCAGAGCCCTGCCGGGGGCTGACTGCTGGCCGCTGCTCCTGCCCCAGCCACTGCTCCTGTGATGGAGGCTGACCCAGCCCAGTTGCTGCTTTGGCTCTGGGGGCTGCACCTGCAGCGGGGGCTGACCCAGCCCCGCCACAGCTCCTGCCCTAGTCTGCTACTCCTGGGCAGGGGCTGACAGTTGCTCCAGCCCCACTGCTGCTGCCGGCTGAAACCGAAGAAGTCATTAAGGTCCATTAAAGTCACAGAATCTGTGACCTTTGTGACAGAATCGGATCCTTAGCCACGCTGCCTAGCAGAAAGAACCTGCATATCTTTGGCCTTAGCCATGCTGTCTGTAAAGTGAGGCTACTCATGTATAAATAACCCATTGTGTTTTGCATCCTCCTCTAGTGGCTTCTTGACAGAGGATATAACCTACCACTGCTGTTAGCGGACATAGTTCCTCTGTTAGCTGAAGTGGTAGAGGTTTGCACTGCACCCAGAAATTCTCAGTTCAAACCCTGCTGGTGACTGAGGCAAAGATGCTTACAGTTGCATATGAATGGATTTTTCCCTCAATTTTTCTTTTTTCAAAATAAATGCTAGGAAATTCCATCTCCATAGCTAGGAAAGCCGTGCACAGAACGAGGCATGGTCCTGTGGGAAACGTGGCATATGATCACCCAAACAAACTCTCTGCCATAGTAGACCTCCCAAGGACGAGGGAAGGCTCATTTCTGGCATTTCCGAACTCCCAAGTGCTCAACTTGGTAAACTTGGTCACGTTCTTTCCTGACAGGTGTGTGTGTGGACGGATAAATACAGCATCAAGGTGCTGCTCCACATCGTCCCTCCCCACCCACTGTGAGCCCAAACAGGCCTCACACTTGGAAGAACGGATGACCTGATAAATCTGGCTCAGGGTAACTCTGCAGGACGGGGTATGACATTAAGCACATTAAGCTTAGTTTGTGTTTTTTTTTTTATTATGTTAGGTTATCTGCTTTGCTAGACATCACGGAGACCCTGGGCAATGCTCTGGAACTGCTCCCTACGAAGCCAGTCAGGACTCTGGGGACGCTTCCTCTCCCCAGGGCAAGAAGCTTACACAACTTCCACCTTCCTGGGGCTGACCTCGGAGCATTCAGCATCCATGTCCACACCATGCACTTCCCACCGCGAGTCCGCCCAGGCAGGGTCTTGGGGAAGCCAGAGGGTCCTGCCCCCCAACTCCGCAGTCAGGCGTGATTCTCAGCCAGCCAGTAAAATAGAAGGTTTATTAGACGACAGGAACATGGTCTAAACACAGAGCTTGTAGGTACAGAGAACAGGACACCTCAGTCAGGTCTGTTTTGCGGGGCAGCGAGGCCAGAGCCCGGATCTGGGCCTCCCTCCATTTCCCCAGCCAGCTCCAAAACTGAAACTCTCCAGCCCCTCCTCTCCTTTATCTCTTTCCTGGGCCAGGAGGCCACCTGATCTCTTGTTCTCCAACATCTTAGTTGGCATCTTGCAGAGGAGGGGCCCAGGCCATCAGTTGCCAGGAGACAGGGTGTCGGCCATTCTCTGTGCAGAATCACACTGGCCCCCCTAGGGCTCTGCAACAATCACACCCCTTGAGGCCCCCACCTTGAGACTTAAGAACTATATAGGGGAAACTGAGGCACTCACACAGTATTCAGAGGAAACATTAAGAACATTCCCACTTCGTCACATCTCTCCCCTCTTCGAGACTGAACTGAGCAAGGTCACTTTAGCCGGTGACCTGGGGAAGTTCGAACCCACCAACGTTCCTATGGATGCCCCAGCATCTCTCCCATTCCTTGGTGGGAGTTACACCAGGCCCCTCCAGTTTCACACCCTCCCTTAGGTCGGGTGTGCTTGATGGCACTCACAGGCCGCATGTAGGAAAGTTTATGCGGCCCTTTTGCCACCCCAATACCCCTGGGATTCAAACTGGGATTGGGATTTCTCCCAATGCTCCAGTCTGGAGGGCTGCAATTCGGGCTTTTGCTTAAGAGCCCCCATCTTGACCTTGGCCAGCTCTGGGCTTGGGCAGCCGCTCCCCACCTTGTGGCCCAGGTACGACACCTCTGCCATCCCCACCTTACACCTTTCAGCTTTTACCGTCAGTCCTGCCTCCTTGGGGCGACCCAGTCCCCTCTTCACCTGGGACACGTGTTCCTCCCAGGCCTGGCTAAGATATCCTCAACGTATGCCAGGCTCAGGTTCTCCACCCCCCTCAATAGCCGATCCATCCAGCGCTGGGAGGTGGCTGACACCCCCTTGAGGTCGAAAGGCAGGACTAGAGACCCCCCCTCTGCTGAAGATGGTCAGCAGTGCGTCTGCCCTGGTGTCTGCCTCGGTGGAGGACAGAGCCCCCGCCCCTGGGTAGCGGGGGGCGAGATCCATCACCCCCAGGACGTATTTCTTCCCTGACCGGGTCGCCTTGCTGAGGGGCCCCAATATGTCCATGGCCACCTTCTGGAAAGGTTCCTCTGTGATGGGCCGGGGTCTCAAGGGGTCACAGGACCTGCCGTGCCGCTGGGCCGCGTCCCCAGACTCCGGGCCAGTCACAGTTCTGCAGCAGCCACTGCTGGGGCCTGGATCCCGTGGTGACCCGAGAGAGGGACATCATGGGCCAGGTACGACAGCCAGTGGCAACACTTCTGGGGCACCCCCAGCTGCCTCCTGATCCCCCACAGTTCTACTTCCCCTGGGGGAGCCCCTTCCCGGTCCAGGAATCCCTTCTCCCATGGGGATCTGTCCCTGCAGCCTTCCCCACGGGGGTTTGCAGCCTGTGGCCAGCACGTTCCCTCAGCTCCTCCAAGGAGGGATCCTTCTGCAGCTCGGTCTGGAATTCAGCTGCTGGGGGAGGGAGTGGGACCTGCTCCCTCTCACGGGCTGGGCCTGGGGTCACAGCCCCGCTGAGCCCTGTCCCTGATCGCTCGCTCCCTGAGTGGGATCACTTCACAGCAGCTCCTCTGGACCAGGCAAAACTGGTTGGCGGCCGTCCTGCACTGCCTGTGTCTCCCCCCTCAGCTGGGGTCTTATACCCCCCCCTTGCTCAGCGCTGCCCTTGCTGTCCCAGTGGGGGTAGGCAGCGAGCTCACTGCTTTCCTCACTGCATCAGAGCCAGCGTGAGCCCCCTCTCTGGTGTGCAGGGGGGTGGGGAGCATCTCTCCATCCCACTCGGCCCCAGGGGGCTGCTTACAGACAGGTGGGTATCCTGAGCTTAGCAGCTCCTCCCCACTGCCAGCCAGGTCATTTGCATTTTCACTGACCATTTCCATCTTAGCAAATTGGTTCCCTGGATTCAAATTCAAATCCTCAGCCATTACAGGAGCAGGGCCTGGATCCTGTCCCAAAGAGATATAGTCGTCCCCCAACAGCACTCGCAGCTGATATCCTGGAGAACCCCAACAACCAGCCAGCCCGACCCCTCCTGGGTCTGCACAGGGATCCGGGCCATAGGCAGGGCGAGGGGCTTCATCCCTGGGACCTTCACCCAGGTCACACAGCCCCCCAGCATATGGTGGGGTTGCACCACCTGGGGTCTGACAACAGTTCACTCTGTCCCAGGGTCTCACCACCCCAGGAATGTCTCCCCATTGACCATCACCTCCCGCTCCCACTGGGGGTCCGAGGGGCCTGAGCCCAGGAGACTCCACACAGACATATAGGTTGGCGTCAGGAGTGGGAGCCTGTCCACCTCCCCACCCATCTGGCTGACGGAGTCTATGGCCTTGGGACCCAGCAAGGGAGCTAGACACCGGGGCTTTTCCGCAGGGTGCCCCTGGTTCAAATCTCCAGCCTGCTCAAAGGCAGTGAGGTGGCATCCACATGCCACCCCTCCTTAACCAGGGGCAGCAATTTAGTCTCGAGGTTCCCTGCGGAACTGGCCCCCCAGGGTCTATCCCCACTCACCCCAGGGAGGTCCCCTAGGCCTCTCTGCTCCCCCACCGCCAGTTCATGCTGCTGATGCTTCTGCAGCTCTTTCTCGGGCTCTCGCTGTCTCTCACAGTCCTCTTGCTCTCTCGCACTCAGCTCCATCCATCTCCGATCCCCAGATGGGGAACCCCATCCTGAAGACCTGTCTGGTCGGGGACAGGAGTCTTGGCGATGCCTGGCTCCCACTCCAGCTGCTCCCAGATCCTGCTATAGCCCCATTTGGGGTCAGGAGTCTGCTCCTTAGAGCGGTCATCCTCCTCCAGCTGCACGATTAACTGTGCTTTGGTGAACTTTCCAATGCACAACCCTCTCTTCTTGCACAGGGTTACAATGTCCTTCTTAAGGAGACGGTGACAGGCCATCACTCCGCTCTTCCCAAGGTGTTGTGGACTCACAGGCCTGTATGCTCTCAGCTTCCCACGGTTTCCAGGGAGAACCCCTAGGGTGCCAGCCCTTCTCGAGGTCAACAACTCTTTGCCAGGGTCGAGCGGCAGACTCCTTCGTCCCTGGAACAGCTCACCGCAGTCTCCAAGCGGAACCCATCACTGCAATAGTCCTTTTTGCTGGTCACACTCTCCCAGGGGTTAAGCGTAGCTCCTTCACCCCCTGAAACAGCCCCTCTCTGAGCCTTCAGCACACCTGGTCCTCGTTACTCCCCCTTCGTTTTACTGCTCCCCAATCACTTACTGCAAGAAGCACCATTCACGGGGTGCAATGCATCCCACCTGTGCCACCAGTTGTCACGGAGTCCCTGGGCGATGCTCTGGAACTTCTCCCTACGAAGCTAGTCAGGACTCTGGAGATGCCTCCTCTCCCCAGGGCAAGAAGCTTGCACAACTTCCACCTTCCTGGGGCTGACCTCAGAGCATTCAGCATCCCCGTCCACACCGTGCACTTCCCACCGTGAGTCCGCACAGGCGGGGATCCTGGGGAAGCCAGAGGGTCCTGCCCCCCAACTCCGCAGTCAGACGTGACTCTCAGCCAGCCAGTAACACTGAAGGTTTATTAGACGACAGGAACATGGTCCAAAACAGAGCTTGTAGGTACAGAGAACAGGACCCCTCAGTCAGGTCCGTCTTGGGGGCAGGGAGGTCAGAGCCCCATCTGAGCCTCCCTCCATTTCCCCAGCCAGCTCCAAAACTGAAACTCTCCAGCCCCTCCTCTCACCTTTGTCTCTTTCCTGGGCCAGGAGGCCACCTGATCTCTCTGTTCTCCAACCCCTTCAGTTGGCACCTTGCAGAGGAGGGGCCCAGGCCATCAGTTGCCAGGAGACAGGGTGTCGGCCATTCTCTGTGCAGAATCCCACTGGCCCCCTAGAGCTCTGCCACAATCACACCCCCTGATCCCACCACCTAGATACTTAAGAACTGCATAGGGGAAACTGAGGCACCCACACAGTGTTCAGAGAAAACATTAACAACATTCCCACTTCGTCACACTTGGTAATCTGCTTTGATCTGTTTGCTACCCCTTATACTCACTTAAAATCTATCTTTTGTAGTTAATAAACTTGTTTTTGCTTTATCTAAACCAGTGTGTGGGAATCATTACACAGGGGCAGACGGCTGTTGCATATTCCTCTCCACACTGAGGGAGGGGGCGAATGTTATGAGCTTTCACTGTACAGTTCCCTGTGCAGTGCAAGACATTATAATTCTGGGTTTATACTCCAGAGGGGGTGAGTGCCTGGGGAGCTGGGACTTGCCTTAACTGTAGCCTTCCTATGCACGGGCTGGTCAGAGAGCCTGCATATAACTGCAGCTGGGTGTGTCCCTACCTGTATGTGTGCTGGTGAACATGCAGGCTGGAGGGCTTTGTCGTTTCTCACAGCAGTACAGTGTGAAAGAGAGCCCAGGCTGGTGCGTCAGGGGGCTCAGCGGTACCCCAGTTCCAGGTGGTGCCCCGGGAGGAACCCATCACACCCATCCCATGCCCAGGCCAGTGTGACGAAGTGGGACTGTTCTTAATGTTTCCTCTGAATAGTGTGGGGGTGCCTCAGTTTCCCCTAGGCAGCTCTTAAGTATCTAGGTGGTGGAGTAAGGGTGTATGATCGATGCAGAGCCCTAGAGGGCAGGTGTGTGCAGGGGTCTGGACACAGAGAAGGGCCGACACCCTGTTTCCTGGCAACTGATGGCCTGGCCCTTTCCCCCTGCAAGGTGAGCTAAAGGGTTGGAGAACAAAGGAATCAGGTGACCTCCTGGCCCGGGAAAGGGACAAAGCCCAGAGGAGGAGGGGCTGGAGAGAGTTTGAGTTTGGGGCTGGCTGGGGACGAGGAGTGACGTGCAGACGTGGTTGTCTGGCTCACTGCCCCCCAAAATGGACCCGGCTGAGGGGTCCTGTTCTCTGCACCTACAAGCTCTGTGTTAGACCATGTTCCTGTCATCTAATAAACCTTCCGTTTTACTGGCTGGCTGAGAGTCCCGTCTGACGGCGGAGTTGGGGGGCAGGACCCTCTGGCTTCCCCAGGACCCCACCTGGGCGGACTCGCTGTGGGAAGCGCACGGAGGGGCAGAGGAGGCTGAAGGCTCCGAGGTCAGACCCAGGAAGGGGGAAGCCGGGTGAGCTGTGTGTCCTGCAGACAGGCTGCTCACAGAAAGGAGACTTCCCCAGAGTCCTGACTGGCTTCGTAGGGAGCAATTCCAGAGCATCGCCCAGGGACTCCGTGACAGCCAGCTGTTCCAATGGGGAGTTATCCTTGCTGGGAAAAAAATTGCTTATTTCCCATTTGAACTTTGCCGACATCAACTTCCAGCCACTGGCTCGTGTTCTGCCTCCGTCTGGGAGATCAAATCTCCTCCCCACTTAGGCACTTCTGGGCTGTGATCCTCTTTGCTAAGCTAAGCAGAATGAGTTTCTCCAGTCTCTCACTACAGGGCAGGTTTTCCAGACTTAAAATCCCTGAAGTTCTATGCAGACAGAGAACACTTCCCAGGCATGCGGAGGTGTCGCTGTCAGACGCAACTCCAGCGCCAGCCAGGTGCGGTGCTGGTGAAAGGGCAGCCACTGAGGGCCCCTGGGAGACTGGGCAGGACCTAGCCATGCCAGAAGCTCTTTGCCGGTGCAATGCACAGGGAGAGCTGGCTCCCGTTCTGAGCACAGCCTGGCCATGCTGCACACCCAGCGAAGTGTACAGAAAAGGCTCGAACGGATGGGGCTCAGGCTCACAGGAACAAAAAGACCTGCCCAAGGTCACACCAGAGAGTCTGTGGCAGAGTCCAGAATTGAATCTGTCCCCCACAACTCCCAGGCCAGGTCCCGAATCCTAAGGCCAGGTGTTAGATACAACATCAGCGGGAGGGAAATCCAGGTACCTTGACACTGCTGCCATGCCCAGGGCCACACACGTGAGGGCCCTGAACAGTGCGAGGCTGCACATGGGGGGTGGGAGATGGAGAAGCCAACAGTAAGGCAGAGGGGAGGGGAGAGGAGCTTGGTTTCCCCCAGGCACTGCAGGAGCCTCACCTATCACCACGTCACAGGGCACCAGGAACAGATGGGGGCTGAGTGGAGACAAACAATGGAACAGCTGACCGGGGCGAAGGGGGACAGAGACTCCATCTCGCAGGGTGAATCCAGACCGGGAGTCTCTCTAACACACCTGCTTTACCTCCCGCAGATGGGCTGGGCAGGGCTGAAGGAGACCCTGGGCTCTGCAGGAGGCTGTATGGGATGGGCAGAACGGTCCCTGGGGCTTTCACGTCTAAGGACCCAACCCCAGCCCAGCAGCCTTTCCTGTCTGTGACAAAATGGGAGTTTTCTTAATGTTTTGTATGAATACTGTGCATGCCTCAGTTTACCTTGTGTGTTACACAAGTCTGTAGGTGGTGGGATAAGGGTGTGTGATCGCTGCAGAGACTCCCTAGAGGGCAGGCGTGACTGCCAGAGAACCCCAGGGCCAACACTCTGTATCCTGGCAACTGATGGACGGGCCCCCTTGCCATGAGTCAGAGAACAAAGAGAGAGGTGGAGACCAGGTGACCAGTTTGCCCGGGAAAGACACAAAGGCTGGAGTAGAGGCAGCTGGGTGTGCCTGAGGCCGGGTGGCTGGAAGCTGGTCAGTCTCCTGGTTTGGGACTCAGGGGGAGAGCCCAGGGCTCCGGATCCCCTCCCCCAAGATGGACCTGGCTGAACGTTCCTGCTCCCTGTGCTGACAAGCTTTGTTCTATGCTGGGCTCCCCACGACTAATAACCCGTCTGTGTCCCACGCTGGCTGGGAGCCAGTGCTGGCAGGGCCCTTTGGGGGCGTGTGAGGCTCCCCAGGTGTCCCCTACTCGCTGCGGGGCACTCTTGGTGTGAACAGGGGGCTGAATGCTCCGAGGTGAGACCCAGGAGGAGGGGGCTTGCCCTGGTGAGAGCGCGCCCCGGGGGCGGTCCCACAGCCAGAGGCCCCCTCTGGCTTCATTCCCAGGGTTCCAGAGCGCCCAGCCCCTGCACCCACGACACCATCCAAGGGGACATGCACATGGCAGCCCTGCCCCACCTCCCGCAGAGCATGGGGGTCTCCCTCCCACTGCTCACAAACATGCACCCACCCAGCCACAAGCCCTCCGAGGGGCTCTGCAGGCTGGGCCAAGCACTCACCACTTTGAGCTCAGGCACCGAGCGGCTCAGGGTCCATTCCTGGCTGTTCACAAACGAATCTGCAGAAAAGAGACAAGAGACCGTCAGCCCCTGGCTGGGGAAAGGAGTCCTCAGCTCCCAGAGTCCCTACCCTGCCCTGCCCGCAGGGATGCCGTGGGCTCCCACCCACACATGGAGGGGAGGGAACTGCAACGCCCAGGGTCAGAGAGGCCGCTCGCTGATGGAGGGGGCAGCACAGGGCAGTGACTGAGACCAGCAGCCACCGAGGCAGCCTCCGTAGGTCCCGGGTCTGCACTGGGAGCACCCCATAGACCAGAACTGAGCAGGGGTGACCTCCAGAGGCACTAGGACCATGCAGCACCCCCTTTCCCCAGCCTCATGGGCTGGAGGGAGAAGGAAATTCCAGGGAGGAGCCGGGAGAAAGCGAAGGGGGCAGGAACAGGCAGAGAACAGCCACAGCAGGGATGGCAGCGCTGGGCAGGAAAACCAGTGGGAGCCGTGGGCAGGGCGACCAGACGGCAGGTGTGAGCTGCAGGGACGGGGCAAGAGATGCTGATATGAGACAAAGCCCCGAATACTGCCACTGTCCCACAAAATCGGGACAGCTGGTGACCCCGGGTGGCGGGGGAACACACCCGGAGCCGTGATGGCAGAGGTGAAGGGACGCAACGGTGGGGGAAGAGGCAGGTGGGGGGGGGGATTGGCCCAGGGGAAGAGGCAGGTGGGGGGGTGGCCCGGGGAGGGAAGATGCAGCCAGAGCTGCGTCAGCAGGACTGTGGGCAGGACTTTCTCCCTCTCGCTGACTGGCCATTCCCTCCAGCCCCGCCAGTCTGTTCACCTCAGGCTCTGTCCAGCCGCCCTGCCCCCTGTTCGGCTACCCCCCCCTCGTTAAGCCCCACCCAACGTCAGAGCCAGCCCAGGGGCTGCCTCGCCCTGTCCCTTCCCCAGCCTGGGCCAGCTCCGGAGGGGAGGGGCTGGTACTGCCCATGCAGCACCCAGCACCCCAGGAAGCGGCTGGCCAGGCCCGCAGCACTCAGCCCAGGCCCTCCTCCCATTCCCCATGGGGCTGCTGCCTTCCCTGCACCCCCGCCGCCTACCCTAGCCCCTCTACGCCTACGGGCTAGACAGCCTCCCTGCGCCTGCCGCCTTCTCCCCACGCAGAGAACAGCACCCGCACCCCCAGCCCTGCGGAGCGGGATCCAATGGCCCCCACCAGCCCAGTTCTCTGGCACCTGGGGCTCCTCCCTGCCGAAGAGCCACCCGACAAGGATGACACGCAAATTCATGAAACGTACCATAAAAAAAGAAAAAAAAAACCACCCAACAAGCTCACAACAGTGCCGCCCAAACCAGTTGTGCAAGTCAAGCAGCTGTGGGTCCAGGCCCCGGCAGATGCTTCACCCCTCAGCCACCCCGCACACGGGACGCCGAGCCCCAGCAGAGCAGGAAAGCGCCAGCAGGCCTAATCCAGGACATGCCAGCAACAGAAGGGTTTCTGGCCCAGCCCCCCGGGCAAGCCTCGGTCTCCTGTACATGCAGGGGGGCAGCGTGGCAGGCACGCACCGCATGGCAATGGTGCAACAGCAGCAAAGGGGCCTGGTCTGGGAACGCAGGAAACCCACCCCTAGGGTCTCAAGCTGCGCCTCGGCTGCCCAGCCAGGCCGGTTTCCACCAATGAACAGTGACAGCCAGTCCTTACCTAGTGCAGCAGGAGAGCTCAAAGCCTTTCACAAAGGAGGTCAGTATCACTCACCACATCTTACAGATGGGGAAACTGAGTCACCGCGAGGCAAAGGGTCTCGCCCGAGGTCCCCCCTGCCAGGGCAGAACTGGGAAGAGAACCCAGGTCTCCTGTGTCCTAGGCCAGGCCTCACACGGCTGCCTCCCACCAGCCCCGTCAGGAGCAGGGAGCTGTTCTGATGAGAGCTGTAGGGCAGGGGCCCGGCTAGCTGGGAAGCTCAGCAGGACCCAGCATGGGAGCCATTTTTCTATCCCTTTCAAACAATGGAAATTGAATGCAACAACCTGGGTGGGCAGCCGCAGTGGCCTCTGCCCCCATCGCCGCCCCTGGGGCAGGCAGGCTGGACCGTCCAGGCCCGCTGTGGCTGCTGGCCAGTGCTTTGAGCCAACAGCTGCCATGACACAGCTGTCTGCACCCCCGTCATGGCCTAATCTTGCTGCTAAGGCCGACTGAGCTCAGCTGGGGCCCTTAGCGCTTGGGGGGAGACGGGATTTAGGGTCCCTGAGAAGGGGAGCTCCTGTCGCAGGAGGTAGAGGCTGCCCTGTCCCTTCTGCCTGGCCCACCATGGACCTTTTGCTGCAGCACCTTCCCTTACCCATTCCCTTCCCCTGAGCTGGGCAGATGGACCGAGGCTGAGGCACGACCTGACCTTGGCTGCACAGCCGCTCCTTAAATGTCTAGTGCAGCAGCCCCGGTGCTAAGGGCTGCAGGAAACAAAGGTACTGGGGAGAATGGGGTGCCCCTAAACCCTGATGGGAAGGGAGCATTTGTAAAGGGAGTCTTGTACTATCCTGTTTTTAGCATGTGCACGCTCACCTGTGCTCACTAGCATGCACGAGCGCTTACCAGTGCACCCGTGCACTGCACCCACACGCATCAGCGTGCACGAGCGCTCACCAGTGCGCCCGCACCAGTGCGCCCGGCCCACTACTGCAATTGAGCACTCACTGGTGCACCCATGCCCAGTCTAGAGAACATAAGCACTCCCCTGCACCCCTGCACCCCTGCTTGCTAGCATGCATGAGTGCTCACCGGGGTGCCTGAGCCCATTAGTGCATGTGCAAGCTGGGCTGCTTTTCAGCTCACAAATCTCTCCACGGGTCCAAGCGAAGCCCACAGGCATGGGAGGATGAAACCGGAGCTGTGTCGGGGCCAAGTCTCCCAGTGACCAGCCTGAGCCAGCCCATTGTGGGGGGATGAAGGACACGTCTGACGTCCCAGGCTCACATCCTGAATCAGGTCCCTTTAAGTCACTCTGGGTCCCACCTTTCAGCAGCCATCACACAAGGGCCGGAATGGACCTCCTGGGTCTTCGATTCCAGTCCCCTGCTGCCAGCCGTCACCCCATCACATCATTCCCATCACAAAACTCACCACGCTCTGTCTTTAAGCTAGTGAGCTCGTTTGCGCCCACTGCTCCTCTTGGGAGGCTGGTCCAGGACCTCCCTCCTCCAAGGTTAGAAACCCGCTTCTCATTTCCTGCCTCAATTTACTCCCAGCCAGTTCGTCCCCATTTGTTCTTGTGCCAACACTGTCCTTTAACTTCACTAGCTCTTCTCCCTCCCTGGCATTTACCCTGACGTATTTCTAGGGCAATTGGATCCTGTGAGCCTTTGTTGTGCTGGGCTAAACAAGCCAGTCTCCTCTCCAGAGACCACCCCTCCAATCAGAGATTAGCCTAGCTGCCCTTCACTGCACCTGTTCCACTTTGGATCCCTCTTTCTTGAGCACAAGTGACCAGAACTGCACAAAGCATTCCAGCGGAGGTCTTACCAGCGCCTTGTGCAACGGCATTCCTACCTCCCTGTCTCGACTGGACATACCTTGCCTGATGCATCCAAGAATCAAAGCTGCTTAAAAAAACCCACTGCTGCATCTCATCGGTGGCTCACAATCATCCTGTGATTGCCTGATCCACTCAGGTCTTTCTCCTTCTCCCTGGCCAGAGCTCTAAGCCTGGAACCCCTCCCCTGTTTCGCCCCTTCTCCTACAGCCCCGACCCTGTTCCGCCCCCACTCCCCACCCCTTCCCTTTCCCCCCCAGCACCCCGAGACTGGAAAAGCTCCGGGGCTGGGAGCAACAGCTCCTCCAGCCCCAGGACTGTGGTGGGGGGAGATTTTTCCAGGGGCCCCAAATTGGGGCACAAGCCCTGTAAGGTAATCTGCCACTCCCCCCACTTCCGCAGGGCTGTGCAAGGTTTGGGAGGCTTAGCCTCACCTAGCTTCCATTACGCAGCACCCGTAGTGAAAGCCTTACTAACAACTGAACTCCAAATGTGGTTTTACATAGGTTCAGATATTCTAAAACCAAACGTGATTCTGTGAACATCTTGTCTGACTTCCTGGGTAACACAGGACATAGGACTTCCCTGAATTCCTTCCTGTTTGAATCAGAGTGGACCTTGCAGAGAAATAGCCCAGCACAATTGAAAACCTGCCAGTGATGGAAAATCCACCACAACCCTTGGGAAATTGTCCCAAATGGTTAATTAGCCTCATGGTACAAAAATGTTCAGGTTATTTCCAGCCTCTGTTTGTCTAACTTCAACTTCCAGCCATTGGATTGTGCTATATATTTGTCTGCTAGCTTGAAGAACCCATTATCAAAGACTTGTTTGCCATGTTAGGCAGTTATAAACTGATCAAATCATCCCTAACTTTCTCTGTGTTAAGGTAAACAGATAAACTCTAGGAGATCAATCACCGTAAGGCAGGTTTTGTAATCCTTTAACCCTCTTTGTGGCTCTTCTCTGAACCCTCTCCAATTTATCAACATCCTTCTTGAATGGTTGGCACCAGAACTGGACACAGGATTCCAGCAACGGTCGCACAGTGCCAAAGAAAGAGGTAAAAGAACCTCTCTGCTCCTACTCGAGATTCCCCTGGTTATGCACGCAAGGATCGCATTAGCCCTTTTGGCCACAGCAACACACTGGGATCTCGTGTTCAGCTGATTATCCATCACCACCTGCAACTCTTCTCCTGAGTCGCTGCTTTCCAGGATAGAGCCCCCAGCCTGTAAGGGTGGTCTGCATTCTTTGCTCTTGGACCTGTGTGTTTACATTTAGCAGTGTCAAGATGCACATTGTTTGTTTGCACCCAACTTACTAAGCGATCCAGATCACCCTGGGTCAGTGCTCTGCCCTGCCCTCTTCACTATTTACCACTCCCCCAATCTGTGGGTCATCCGCAAACTTTATCAGTGACGATTTGAGTTTTCTCCCAAGTCACTGACAAAAAATGCATGGGGCCAAGAACTGCACTAGAGTTACGAACTGACCGGCCAACCCCACCCCTTACTTGGAACCGGAAGTACGCAATCAGGCGGCAGCAGAGAGAGACACCAAAAGCAAGTACAGTACTGTGCTGTGTTAAATGGAAACTACTCAGAAAGGGAGCTCTGTTTTGTTTGACAAGATGCTGATTGGCATTAATGACATTACCCTTTGTTCGTGTTTCATTAATCAAGTCCTGTCTCAGCTGCTCCATTATTTTTCCCAGGACCGAAGGGCTGGCAAGCCTATCCCGTTTACCCTGTTTTATATATATATATATATATATAGCACACACACACACACACACACTACTTTTCTTCCAGGGAAAAGCCCTTTTGCTCAAACAGAGTTAGACTCTAACCTTTCACCCACATTTTGGGTGTGTAAAAAAAAAGTGCCATTAAAAAAATATCCCATTCACAGATGAGCTGCCGGGGAGGCAGGGAAAAGGGAAGCACCACTTTTCTGTCTGCATGGGCATGGCCAGGTAACTGGGTTTTATGATTTCAGCTCCAGCTTCACACTAGCTTGACATGGTTTGCTCATTTTGGTGACTCCAAATGGCACAAGCTGCGAGCCCTTGCGACCAGGAGACGCTGGCGTCAACTTTGCAAGATCACCTGACTCAGCGTGTCTGCACCTCCCACTATTGGAGGGATTTGCCAGATGGCAAGGAGCGGATCTTTGTCTGCACAAACCATCTAATCTCACCCGACTGGGCTGTCAGGGCCTTGCTTCCACTGGCCACAGGAGGTGCTACACGAGGCAGGACAAACCAAGCCCATGCCTAGAAGCCTGAACTCTGGCACCACGGAGGTCTGCGTTCCCTCCCGCACAACCAGGCCAGCGACACCTGCAGCTCTTTGCAGAGATCAGCAGGATCTGAAGACTGGCCACTATCAAGCCCAGTCAGTCACTCAGTCCATCGCTGGGGATCGGCTGAGCCAGGCAGTTCACCGGCTAATCTGTCCGGAAGTCACCACAACCATCCTGCAGAAGGCTCAGCTTTTTGGTTTTAGTTTGGTTTTCCTCGGCAGAGGGGGCCCTGCTAGCTCAGCGGCCTCGAGCTTGTTGCTGTTAATGCCACTGATGCTCACTGGCAATGCGGGGGCGAGCGCGCTCAAGACGCCCAGAACAGCCCCAGGTCGAACCACCACCCCAAGGCAGCCCGTACGTCTCTCGAGGGGCTGGGGCTGGCAGGCTGTATACACCCAAGGACGCAGCTACCTCCATCTAGAACCGTGTGCGAGTTCAACGTAACCAGTTCCGTTAGCCACGCATTGGGCTATTCTGAGCAGCACACGCGTCTCCTAGCCACCGAACTGCGGGCAAGCAGCTCATGACTGGCATGGAAACTGCAACACAACACCTGCGCTTGGGGTTTAGTTTGCTCCCCCTCTGGACCCCGTTTAAACTTCCCTGGCACAAAGCCCAGTTTTGGGGCTGACACCTCAATGGACGGTCACCAGGGTCAGGGTAGGAATCATTCGGGATAGTAATTTGTTTGATTCACCTCACAACTGGACGAACTGGATGAATTTGATGTTTATTATTAATGGGATTTTTCTTTGTTTTTCCGTTTCCCTTCACTTTTCCATTATTTATACAAAACTGGAAGCCGGGGGGGGAGGGGGGGAGAGGAGTTTGACTGTTTCTGCCCCAGGCATCCAGCATCTCGAGAACCTAGAAGGAAAGAGACCTATGACCTGCCCATGAAACCTGCTCTTATCCTCTTTGATCCTCCCAGCCCGGGAATATGGCCTCCCTTGAACCACATGCATTGTATTACAGCCAAATGTAAGGTCTAGAAACCAAACCTGTAGGTCGCACAAGCTGGGAATCTCGCTTCTCACAGCGACGGTTCAGAGCAGCTCTCTGATGGTGGAGAGCTCTTTTCTCCAGCAGGCAAAGATGGAACAAGATCCAACAGCTGGAATTTGTAGGTAGCAAAGTTCAAACTTGAAACAAGGTGCCAATGTGTAACGGCGAGGCTAACCCACCCCTGGGTAACTGACCTGAGCCCTGATGGAGTCGCCATCCCTTGATCCCTGTAAATCAGAACCAGATGTCTCTTTCCAAAGAGCCACTCTAGCGCAGCCGCAGGATAGCTGGCTGGTGGGCGTGGCGTCCGAGGAAGGAAAAGGAATGGCCTCCACTGCAGTGGGGGCTCTGGGCAGAGGTCTGCACTCCGGAACAAAAGTCCAACTCCGCCGTCACCGAACAGTGCTGAGAAAAGTCGGGAAATCAGACACGATGAACGCTTGCTCCCACCCAAGGGCTGTGCTAAGATCAGAGCTGGTAAACCCAGGAGAATGGAACCCAAAGTTAACGGAGCGCAGTGGGTGGGTTCGAAGTCAGACCTAACGAGAGAATGAACTAATGAGGGCTGGGCTGTTCCACCATCATCCCCTGGTGGCACCTTCAGATGGAGATTCTGCTGGGCAGGGCAGGAAGGGGAGTCCAAATGGCTGAGACGGCGGAGTGAAAGGAGCCAGCTTCGCCCAGGACTGCCACCCCCACTGTCACCCAGGACCCAGGCCTTCCCCGTCCAGACCCTGGGAGACATTCTGACCAGACCAGGCCAGAGAGAGGGACCCAGGTGACAGTGTCACCTCCACCAGCTGTAGCTAAATCCCAAACACCGTGTGAGACGCGGGTTCCCGCCCCACAGCCGTTCCCCCCACCCGTATTTCTTCTCCTTCCTGGCCCTCTCGTTTTGCCTTCTGTGTAACAATCTGGCTTCGCTGGCCAATGTCGTCTCTTCTGCAGCACTGCTGTCCCTGTGACCAGAGGGAGCTGAAAGCCATGCCCAAAAAGGGCCGATGCGGACACAGGCTCCCAGGGGTCAGAGCGGCATGTCCAGCCGTGCTGGGTCTGCTCCAGCAGCAAGGCAGCAAGCGACAGTCGGCACCAGAGGCAAACGCCGCATTTTCTCTTTGCTGTTCCTTCCTGCCCCCTTCTGTGAGTGTTTGGCTTAAAGGAAGCAGGACTGGGCTTTACCAGCAGCAGCCCAGCCCAGCTTTTCTCCCCCAGAGGGACAGTTACTGCCATCTTTAACATCATCCTAACGACCATCAGACAGGGAGAGAGAGCTCCTTCGCAGCTCCCGGGAAAGACAACGTAGGACGTGGCTCCACGCATGCCTCACTCAGTGTTCTACAGTTCAACGGCTGCAGCTTTTCCCTGCCTTTTCTGTGTCTTCACGAGCCGGTTACACAGATTTTTAAGGGAGACTGGTGCCATGGGGCCAGGCATGCCAAGGTCTCAGCACTCCAAGCCCTGAACCATTTCACTGGTCAGTGCTGGACAGGGTCAGGGGCACAGTAACATGAGACTTCGGGCCCCAGTATTCCACTGAAATGAACCCAACAGAAGGCTCTGGCCCATGTGCGCAGGACACCAGACGGTCCCTTCTGCCTCTACAATGTACAACAGGCCCCCCGAGCTCTGTCTGGAAGCTCTGTGCAGCTACTCACCACGCGGGAGTGGGGGTCGGGGAGAGGAGGGTGCAGGCCACAGG